TATATATACATACAGTTTTTTAAATAAGAGAAACCGTGTGATATTTAAGCTTGCATGTTTGAGGTACTTAACATTACACTGTCGTCTCAAAGCATATCCATTTTTTTTATGAATTACTCAAGTTTACACTTTTTATGGCAGAATAGTACTCCAGTGTGTACAAATACCACTTTCTTGTCCATTCATCTGTTGATGAACATATCATTTAGCTATTATGAATTGCACTGCTATAAACATGAATATGCATAGATCACCTTGGTATGATATCTTTAACTCTTTTAGGAAGATACCTAGAAGGGAATAGCTGGGTCAAATGGAATTTCTATTTGTAGGATTTTTAGGACTCTTCATACTGATTTCCATATTGGTTGTATCAGTTTAGACTCCCACCAACAATGGAGAAGGGTTTCTTTCTCCCCATGGTCTTGGCAGCATTTGATATTGGTTGACTTCTTGATGGTAGTCATTTTTTCTGAAAGGAGATAGAATCTCAGTGTTGTTTTAATTTGCATTTGTCAAATGGCCAGCAGTGTTGAACATTTTTTCATGTATTTATTGGCCATTTGTATTTCTTCATCTGAAAAGTGTCTATTCATTTCAGATGCCCATTTTTAAATTAGGTCTTTAAATTTGGGGGCCTAAGAGTTTTGAGTTTTTATATACTCTAGATATTAGTTTTTTGTCTGAGGATTAGTTGGCAATAATTTTTCTTCATTTGTATGTTGTGTCTTCACTCTGTCAGTGGTTTTCTTTGCTGTGGAGAAGCTTTTTAATTTAATGTGATCCCATTTGTTGACTCTTGGTATTATTTCTTGTGCAACCAAGGTTTTGCTCAGGAAGTCTTTGCCTACACCTATGTCTTCAGGAGTTTTACCTATTTTGTCTTCCAGCGGATTAAGTGTTTCTGTTCTAATGTTTAGATATTTGATCCATTTTGATTTTAGTTTAGTGCATGGTGAGAGATATGGGTCTATGAGGTCAGCCTTCGGCATGTGGATAGCCAGCTTTCTCAGCACAATTGTGTAAAGAGCTTGTCTTTCTTCCAGTGAAGGGATTTGGCCCCTTTGTCAAAGATAACATAGCTGACTGTGCCTAGTTGTTTCTGTATCTTCTGTTCTGTTCCATTGATCCATGAGTCTGTTATTTGGGGTTTTTTTGTTTTTTGTTTTTTGTTTTTGCCAATATCATGCTGGGTTTTTATTGTTATTGTTTGTTTGTTTTAATCACCGTAGCTTTGTAGTATAACTTGAAGTTTGGGATTATGATACCCTCTTTTTGCCTAGAGTTGCATTTGTTATTTAGGTCTCTTCTGGTTCCATATGAATTGTAAGTTTGCTTTCTCCAGTTCTGTAAGGAATGTTATTGGTCTTTTGATTAGGGTTGTATTAAATCTATATAACAGTTTTGGAAGTATGGCCATCTTGACAATATTGGTTCTGCCTATTCAGGAGCAGGGGATGTCTTTCCATTTTTCATGTCCTGTTCAGTGAAATAGGTTCTTTTGATTGGAGACCATAGGAGTTGTATTGTCATGGTGTCTGAGGAAAAGGGGGTGAGCAGAGGGGGATCCAGGCAAGACTGAACAGTGCAGGAGTGAGACTCGGTCCTGTAGGTCATGAGGAGTCATGGAGCGCTTCAAGCACAGGAAAGACTTAGTCATCTCTGGATTTAGAAGAAGAGGACCAGCAGCAATATGCACAGTGGCAGGAGGCAAGATGAGCCTTGTTCGTTGAATAAATATCTAATACCATCTACCTGAGCACCAGCCTGTAGGCTGCCCCATGGAGAGGATGAGTAGATAGGAGGCTACTCCATCAGCCCATTCAAGACAGAAGGCTGTGGTGGCAGTGGAGATGGAAAAGAGAAGCTGTGGTATCTCAGGCATAAGATTGGTTTTGTGGCCAGATGGATATGAGGAATGAATGATAACAGGGATTCCGGAAAGCCAGTTTTTGAATTGCAAGAATAGAGGGTGCCAGTCCCTGACATAGAAAATAGGAGGAAAAACAGGTTTAAGGGGAAAGATAAAGGATTCCATCTGGGGTGTAGTGAGTTCTGAGTTGATGAAGCTATGGGGGCAGCTGGGTATATAAATCCCAGCACTCAGAAGAAAGGGATGGGCTTTAGAGTCAAAGACGAGATTTGTTTGCACAATAAAGCCCGTAGAGGGCCCAGAAAATGGGAAAGAAAGAGGGTTAAGGGCAAATTATTGGAGGGAACCAATGTTTAAAGGTGGAGGGTGGAAGAGGAGCAAGAGGAAGAGACTGAGATGAAATAGTAAACAACGTGGGGCAGCTAGGAGTGGGGACAAAAGCCAAAGTTGGAAAGGGTCCAGGTGGGAGTAGTCAGAGATATCACCGATGCGCATGGCAGGGAGGGTGCCTGGCATCTGGTACCCACTGTGTGTGCGATTAGAGGAGTGGGGAGGATGGGCAGGGCTGGGGAACAATGGCAGGGGAGGGGAGATGACAGGCCTCCTCTCCTGGGAAGATGAGAACATGTAGCAGGAGCTTAGCATCAGGACCTCCAAGCCTGGGGAAGTCACTAAGGTTGGGGAAACATTTGCTCAGTTCCTTCATGGTGGAGGAAAGGGGTAGGATGCAATGACTACACATTCTCCTGTCTAAAATGATAATATGTGGAATCACAGAGCAGTAGGGATGTGAGAGACCAGTGAGCCCCCATTCAATAATACAGCAAACCTACTCTATTAGTCTATTTTCTGATGCTACAACAAAATACCTATGGCTGGGTAACATAGAAAAAAGAGAGGTTTACTTTGATTGCGGTTTTGGAGGCTGGAAATCCAAAATTGGGTAGCTTTGTTGGTTCAGTCTGGTGAGGCCCCCTTGCCTGTGTCATATTACGGCAAATGGCATCATCACAGCACATGGCATTTGGCTAGAGTGCCTGCAAGAAGAAGGGACCCCATGGTGAGAGAGGAAGCAAGAGCAGGAGTTTCCCCTTTGGTTTCCTGTTCTACCTGGCCTCACAGGCAATCAGATAGCGACTGTCCACATTCAGGGCGGGTCTTCCCCTTTAGTTTGCTGACCCAGCCACCAGTCTCCTCCAGAAACACCCTTAACAGGCACACCCAAAGGTGCTGGTTTACCAACTCTTCAGGCATCCCTCAATCTAGTCAAGCTGACACCCTCGATTAACCATCAGTATCATTTTACAGATGAGGACATTGATATTCAGACAGACAAGAGTGATTTTGGGTCATTGGTCCAAAACGCAGGGACCAGAACCCAGGAACCCAGCCTCCCAGGCTGCTGTTCTTGTCACTTTGTTCCCAAAGTACCAAGAACAGCAGAAAGGTATCAAGGTCTCCACACCAGGCTTCTGGTCTTGGTGGGTGCTCAAGATGCTCCCACTGCACTGCTTTCTGCAGCCACTTTCACTCAGCCCAGTCACCCACTCACAGAGACGCCCAGCAGTAGGTGGCGGTAGAGAAGGAAGCCTGGAAGGAGCACCAGGGAGCCGGATGGGCCTAGGGAGAGCAGGGTGTCTGGTGCGCAAGTTGCCTGGCTCTTCCCAGACTGCCCCGCGCTGCCCCGCCCCGCCAGCCTGCTCCTACCTGCCCAGCACCACAACCAAACTGCATTAAGGGAGCCGGGCAGGTGCTTAGCGTCTCTAATGTGTTCCATTACAAACACTCCACAATAAGGTAATTATGTTAGAAAATAATAAACGTGTCAGTCTTTCTGGAAATATTTTTACTTCTAGCGAGGGGGAAGTGGGGCCATTGTTTTTCAAGTGCATCTCTGCTCTGTACATATTAATTAACTGTGCTTCGGTTCCACCGCCTCGTGGCATTTGTATTATTCATAAATGTCGTGGGGCTGCAGTAACTTATGTACTCCCCTCCTCGGCTTGGAATCATTTTTTAATTTCAGGTTCTTTTTTGACTAATTGCACTTGTGGTTTGTGCCTTCTGTACCAGGAGCCCTCTTCCTTGTTTCCCCAGGCTTCCTCGCCTTCCTGTTCTCTCTGCTTCTTCTAGGGTCTCTCCTGGCCCTTGTGGGGTCCAAATAGGAGTCTGGTTTCAGCTAGGTGGGAAGGAATGCCTCTCAGAAATCCTGGGACACTGTAGGCTCCTACCTGGCAGGGGTCTCTAGCCTCCCTCTTCCCTGCTGGTATCCCACCCCTTTAGGATTCAGCCTGGTCAGGGAACATCTCCGAATCAGTCCACCCCCATGATTTATTTCTTTATCCTGTATTTTCTGTTAAGTGCCTAAACTCTGCATTTCTTTCACGTTTACAGAAAAATTAATTGGAAAGTAGAGAATTCCATATATCCCTCACCTCCACCTGCCCTATGGCCCTATCATTGGTATCTTGCATTATGGTGGTACAGTAGCAAAGGGTAAGCCAGTGTGGATGAACTGCTGTTAAATAAAGTTCACAGTTTGTGTTAGAGTTCATTTAGCTTTGTACATTCTGTGAGTTTGGACAAATATGTAATGTTATATATTCACCACCATAGGGCTATCTGAAAAAGTGCCACTGCCCTAAAAATCTCTCATGGTCCACTACTCATCTTTCCCTTCCTGCCCCCCTGCCCTGAACCTCTGGAAATCACAGGTCTTTTTGTCATTTCCATAGTCTTATTTTTTCCATAGTAAGAGTGTTCCATAGTAAGAATCGTACCATGTGTAGCTTTTTCAGATCTCCTTGCATTTTTGGATTCAAGTCTTAGTTTGGGTCTGTCTCCTAATCAAGCTGGATTGCGTCACTACATGGAATCCCTCTGGCTTTCCTTGGAAATATGTAGGCATGCACAGGATGCTGTAGGCAGGGGTAAGTGGAGGGGCCTACCATGCACTGGCTGGATGAGCTGTATGAGCTGGAGTTCTGCAAACAGCTATACCTTAGGTGCTCATCCAGTCTCTCAAAAGCAGAAAATGAAGGGTCCAAGAGAGGGGTCACAGCACAAGATGATTCTCCTTTCATCTCATTTGGTCTGAGATCTGAGGGTTTAAGTAACAGTGTTGAGTCTTCCAAGAACTAGTTACGACATAGAGGGGTGATGATCTAATAGGGCCGTGGGGTCTTCTGAGTCTAAGTGAACACACCACTGCCTCCCCACATACACGCACTGTTGCCTAGTGGCACTATCTCTGGAAGGGGCCACCTTCCTAAGCAAGCCAGATCTCCACTCCACGATCCAGGGAGCAAAAGCAAAATTGCACGAGGAACAGTCCTCCCTGCACATGTAGCAGAGATTGCAGCAGAAGACATGACCACTAGAGAATTAGCAAGCCAAGAACCATGGACACCAACCTGCTTCCATTCTCTGCTCCAGATGCTGATAAATTCTTCAGGAATCCAACCCCTCTGGGGACCAGGCTGGCTGCTGTTTTTGATTGTCCCATGTCAAAGTTTGTTGCAAAGTTCTTACCACTGTATGACTTGTACTCACAAAAGGAAAGTGCACTGGGTCATTTGCTGCTGTTACCTATGAGGTAAAGAAAAAATAGCTTAATGGTAGTTGACAAGGGGCCTGGAGGGCTGCAGATCCAGTAATCCAGTGAAATGGGTGGGAGCCAAGATACTCTGATTTAGCTAAAACAAAAATATTTTCTCTCTCTCTCTCTCTCTGCCCTGGTCAAAGCTCACACTCTCCTGAATCAACAGAGTTGGCTGCAGGGTTGACTGAAAGTCTGGTAGAAGATTCTGCCCCATTGACTCCAGACAGTGATTTGAAAAGTTCACTGCCCTCTGGGGTTCTAAAGCCCTTACATTCTGGCAGTGTCTGTCATGTTTGTTTTCACATAAGGAATCAGGTTCTAGATGATGGACAGATAGAACAGAGGCAAAGACTTTGGGCAAGACACTTCCTGGCCAAGTGTCCCCAGAGTTGCTGTATCACAGGATACATGCCAGGACAAATACGGTCCTTCTGCTCCAGGGACACACACTGTCACTACTCTGCTGCTTGGCTTGGGATGTCTGGATGAGGTGTCTTCTCACCCATGGAGACTGTGGATTAGAAGTGGCAAGAATGATCCAGGAACAGCCTCTGGCCAGAAGCTGTTGCAGCTGGGAGAGAAGAGGGCCACCACCGCCTGGTGTGCAGTGCTCAGCTGCTCTCTGAAGCCGTCTGCAGATAGTGCTTCCCCACAGGGCCCGTGATCAGCCCCGGCCCGACTCCTCCAGGCTGCCTGGCTCCACGGCAGGCAACTCACAGTGGAAGTGTGGGTGAGTTAGGGAAGTAGCAATGGGAGTTGCAGTAACCTCCCCCACCTCTCTAACTGAGGTTAAGGCCTTTGCTCTCTGCTCGGCCCTCCAGTCACCCTCGGTATAGTCTGAGCGTCCTTCTCACTGCACATGTCTGCCAAGGTGGAGGTGTTGCTTGCATCTGCTTTTCTGTCCATGCGTGTTGGGAGGCTTGCCCAGTGGCCTTGTGGAAGGAGACCCGCTGTAACAGAAAACAGTGGGTTGAGAGGTAGGCAGGACCCTTGTGGAGTGAGGGGCAAACATGGCCATGGTGGAATCTGACCTTTGTCCCACGCTGCAGAATCTTGGACTCAAACCCAACTCAACTACTACAGACTGTGGATTTCAGGCAATTTGGATGTCTTTAGCTCCAGTTTACAAATCTGCAAAGTAGGGGCAGCCAGCCATCCCACGAAGTCGCTGCAAAGATAAAACAGAGTGCTGAGAAGTCTCTGGTTGGGATCTTGGTAAATAGTAGCTGCTCACATCCTGCTGCCCGCCTCACACCTTTTCTTCTAAGGCAGAAAGAAACTTTTGTTTTCACTTTAGCCAGCTACTCCTTTCCTCCCTCTCTCCCTCCCTCCCACGTCTTTCTTTTTCTGTCTCTCCTTGCTCCCAGAGTCACCTTCTTATCACGGAGCCTTCGTATTTATTTCTCATATATTTCACCGAGCAGCCGAGGTTCACAGCTATTTTCCATTTCCATCCAATAAATATTTATCAGATGGCTACTCTGCAGCCTGCTGTGTGCTGGGCTAGGCACCCGGGTTACACCCAGGAGAAAGACAGGCATGCTTCTTGCTCATGTCAAAACTACACTCTGGTGAGGAAGGTTGGTGTTGAACAAGTCCTTGTAACAGAGAACAAAAGTTAGTATCATTCAGCATAAGGCTGGTCAGGATGATCTGGAAAAGCTTCCCAGAGAGGGCAGCACGGCCCAGGCACTCTGAAGCCTGCAGATCTCTCGTAGCCACGTGTGATTTCCTTTGGCTTATAGGCACAAGCTTCACCACCGTCATCATCGGACCCCTCACTCCCTTTTGTTTCTCTTTCAAAATAAATTTATACATTGCTTTATATCCTCAAGTATTTCTGGCACTTCTGCATAACTCCACGGAGCAGCAAAGATAATAAAAAATAAAGGTCAGAGGAAATAGAGAAATCCCAGGCCAGAGGCGAGAGGCTGAAGCCACCAGGCACTGCCTGGTAGCTAAAAGGGGACCACAGGTTCAAGTCCATGTGTCCACACAGCCAGTATAAAGATAAACATGATCACTTAGAAAATTCTCACTGTCCTTCATACCTCGTTTTCCAAGAAAAGAAGGCTTTTATGGGATGGACTTTCATCGGTAGATGTTTACTAAATTGTGAGGGGCACCACTGATCTGTCATCGCTGCAGTCAACCCAGGGACAGGAGTTGTATGGATGATTCTCAAAGAGTCTCTAATACAGGCCCAGGGGCAACTCAACCAGACAGCTCCAATGCCTGAGAATGACCTGATCTAATCTAGGGACAAAGGCCAGAGTGTTTGGGCCAGTGGCTTTTGGCCTGATGGCATCAGAGTCAACCATAACCAGATCCTGAGTCCTTCCCCCGGGGCCTCGATGCAGTGGTCTCCTGGGATTTTAGTATCCGCATGTTTCAAAAGCTGTTTCTGACTCACAGCTCACACTGAGAAACAGTGATGTCCACCGGGGATTCTTGAGTTGCTCTACAAAGCTCCAGACACCTGCAAGAAGCCCTGGGACTACTCCAGGGAAAGGAGGGGTTACTGCTTGGTCCCTGGCCCCTCCATCTTGGCTATGCGAAGGGTTAGGGGTATTCTGGTGTAAACAAATGGCATTTTGAAAGAACCACAACATACCATGGATCCCTGAGTCTTTCTTTTAACCTGTTACCCAATCCAGGCAACTCCCAAGAGAGGAGGATGTACCAAGAAGGTATCAACTGGCAAGGAGGAAGTCAGCTCCATTCCCAGCGCAGGAGACAAGGAAGACCTGGCTAGACCAGACCAAGCCTCTTTTTCTTAAGCCGTTAAGCCAGTATTGTACTAGATGGGCTTTTTCTCCGGAGCTAGAGTCCCAGATCTTCAGACTATAGCAGGAAGAGGTTAGTCTCATGCATGCTCAGCAGCATCAGGAAGCAAATTGGAGGCAGCAGGTGGGATCACATGTGCTCCAACATCTACCACCAAGCACTTCAGGAGAAAAAGAGGCCAGGAGTCAGGGCCAGGCCCACGGGGGAGCTGCCTGGCCATCCCTGCTCCAGCCCCAGGGAAAGGAGAGATGGCAGGTGAGCTACACCTACCAACACCATCCAGTGAACGCAGTGACTACCTGTGAGTAGAAGATAAAGAAACAAGAAAGGGCTTTGAATTTCTTCCCATGGGGAAACTACCCACCCCCAACAGGGTAGGTTGGCTGTCACTGGGCTGTAAGCTGTAGGCCTGCTGCAAGTCCTTAGTTAGGTCTCAACCCTGACAAGTGAAAATCAAAACAAAATCCAGGGCTGAGGAGTGGCTCAGCTGAGCAGGTACCTAGCATGTGCAAGGCCCTAGGTTCCATCTGCAGCACAACAAGAAAAAGAAACTCCAAACTTACATAAGCAAATGATAAGACAATGAACCGAACACTTTTCAAATAAGCCTCTATGCCTACTGTGTTTCCCAGATCAGCATTTGATAAAACCTGAGCAGCAGAAATTCTAAGGTCGGTTTGTCATCTAACAGGGCAAGGACCTGGGGTATGGGTTTTCGGTGCTGCTGGCTAAGGCCATCCAGGTGCTTTGAAAAGCCCACCAGAAACCAATACAAACCATGCTCTAACATGTTGAGAAAATGATCTATTATGGGTTGAATTGTACCCCTCAAAAGCTATGTTGAAGTCCTAGCCCTGCCACCTGTGAATGTGACCTTGTTTGGAAATGCTTCTTTGTAGATGGAATCAAAATAAAATTCAGGCATAATGGAGTAGGGTTGCCTCTAGTCCAGGGATGGGTATCTTATAAATAAAAGGAAATTGAGCACAGACTCACACAGAGAGGAGAAGCCCAGTGACAGCAAAGGCAAAGGGTAGAATGATGTTGCCACAGAAAAGGATCACCTGGTGTTACCACAGCTGGAAGGGGTGAGGAAGGATCCTCCTCCACGGAGGAGATATGGCCCTGATGCCACCATGATTTTGGACTGTGGTCTCCAGGACTGTGACAGAATAAATTTCTGTTGTAAGTCACTTGCTTCATGGTTCTTTATTATGACAGCTCTAGCAAACTAATATAGTATGCTTTCGGCAAAAGTAAGGATCCCGTTAAAAACTGTCACATTCAAAATATGCGTAGGTGCTGGTACTCCGTAAGTGGGCCAGCTCTTTCCAAAGAGTCTATCAGCACTATAGTCACTGGGACTGATCACAAATATTCTGGTTCTCCCTCTTTCTGGAAAGTGGGCAATTCATGTTCCCCACCCACTAGGTTCCACCATATGCTTTGCTTTGGTTAGTGAAATGTGACCAACTGTCATGTGTTTAGCCATGTCCTCTTGTCCCTCTGCTGCAGACATGGCCCACGTCCCATGCTATGATGCTTAGCAGTTTGGCTTCTAGGGTTGGCTTGATGATACGGAGGGCTGAGCCCAGTTTGGCCATGTGGGCATGTAATCTGCGGGAGACAGAAACCCTCAAGTTTTTAAGTGGGTTTGGGAGACTGTTTGTTACACAGCTTCACTTGCACTGACATCTCTGAACAGCTGACCACCCTGCTGTACCAGGCAACAGGCAGAGTCCCCAGGTTTTACATGATGAAAGAGTTTAGATGTGGATGCTTCTCAGCAAAGGATGTATTAGTCCGATTTCTGTTGCCTCCACAACACAATACCACAGACTAGGTGATTTATAAAGAGCAGTGGTTTATTTTGGCTTATGCCTCTCAATGTTCCACATTAAGGGCCACACCTGGTGGTGGGCTTCTTGCTGGTAGGGTCCCAAGAAGGTGCAGGGTATCACATGGCAATGGGCAGGGGACAAGCAATGTGTGTGTGTGTGTGTGTGTGTGTGTGTGTGTGTGTGTGTATCCCTCTTCTTATCAAGCCACCAGGACTCAATCATGTGGGATCCATTCTGATAACCTTATCTAATCCTCATCACCTCCCAAAGGTCCTACCTCTAAATACTAGGGTGGGATTATGTTTCCGCCCTCCGAATACCTCACAAGGGGGTTTAAATTTCAACACATATAGCCTTGGGGGACACTCAAACCAGACAAAACCATAGCACAGGAATACCAGGTGCTCACTATGATCACAAATAACTCTCCCATGACCATCATGATGCATCTGATTTTAAGGGGTAGAACTACTTATAAATTCTACAGGGCAGTCAAATAAAAGACAACAAAAGAAATTACAATATGGAACTTCTGGCATATAAATCCATTACATTGAGTGGCTGGTAGATACAAATCCCTTTGTGTAAGAGTAATTACTCCTAAGTCTATTACCTTGATGGTCATAGAAGAGGCAATCTCTGGGGTTAATCACTGCTCTGTTACAATGAAGTAATAACACACCCAAGAAAAATCTGATTTTTCTTGTTTTCTATCAATAGAGAGCAATATCAAGATAATCCAAAAGAAATTTCAAGCCATTAAGATATATATTCAAAAGGAAGAAGCCCAAGCAGTGCTGCTTTACATAGCTCAGAATAATCACCAGATTTTCTGGGTGACTATTCGTGTCATTCAGGGTCTAACGTGCAGAACATTACCAAGCCGCCTACAATAAGTTCATAACTCTTGGCCAATAACCAACTCCTTCCATGAAGTCAGAAGTCAGTAGGTCAACAAAAGCTGCAAACAATCTGAGGTTCTCCTTATATCAGATTTCTCTTCAAAATGAAAAAGGGTGTCAAAGTAGAGAAAAGTAGAATAACCTTCCAGCACCCCTTCTGCCCCTCAGGGACAATTACCGGTTTGAAAACTCAGATTTATAGCATGTTGAGCAAGCTATTAGACTTGCAGTTTCGGGGGAGAATAGTAAATAGACACTTTGTAAAATGGAAGAGACACAATTCCTATCTTTACTTGTACACTAGCAATAATGGGGGTGAGCAGGCTGGACTGACTGTCTCCTACCAAATTCAGTCCAGGATGACAAAGTCCCCCTACTCCACCCTAATATTTATCAGTCATGCCCCAAACTGGAAATGCATTCAAGCTGGATAACTGGGAGTAGGTTTATTTACAAAGGCATTATTTTCAAAGGTGAGGCAGAGTGGGTAGTTGAGCAGTTCATGGTAGTTGAGCTATTGCTACCAAATCCCAAAGGACAAGGGGAAGGAATACAACCAGACCCAGCAGATAAATCATAAAGAAGAGGCTGTCATGAAAGAACAATATCATTTGATGATGGGACCAAGCCACTCAAAG